TTATATGGAGTGGTAAGTTGTGTGTTGTATGAAGGAAGACAGAGGAGTGTGCATCCAAAATGACCTATAAGATACTAAGACCATCACCATGCAGCAAGTGCATTTTATTGCAACAAAAAAAGGGGCCAGGGAAATTTAAAACTTTAAAGCAAGCCCTAGTCTGTGGATTATTCTTCAGAAAACGATCATGTTGAGTAAACAGATCAACACAAGGATGCAGGAGTTGCACACGGTGTAAGGAGAGTAGAAGCTGCAGCACACTGGTGCTGGGGAGCACATCCCTTGGTGGGGGGGGGGGGGGGGTCCCCTTCAGCAAAGCGGTGAATCACGTACCCATCCCCATTGGAAAGAGAGTTTACACGCTTGCTTAAATTTCATCAAAGGCGATGAAAGGAGGATGGAGAGTCGGGGAAGTTCCATGCCTGAAGGATCAGTGAGGGTTTTGGGGAACTGGCTGGAGATGCACAAGCAGTTTGAGGGCAGAGGGGGCTGGATTAGCTAAACTTTGTAATGAAGACGATAGTGAAACTCAAATTGGATCAGGTTGCTGAGGAAACACAAGCAGAAAGAGCAAGGAGCAAATCCCTAGCAGGAGCTGGAGGAAGGAAGCAGGGCATAAGGTCTGAGGACAGTTATGGGAGAGTGTGGGGACCTCTCTTACGCCACCGCTTGTTGTCAGCTGAGATCTCTTTCTACATTCTCTCTGTACGTGAGGTTTCATTATGGAGGGTGGAATTCAGAGAGAGGTGCTGAGGGCATCAGGACCACCAGGTCCCTGGTGGGAGAACGACCAGTGGCCGTTGTTAGTCCAGCCCGAGGCAGTGCTGCAGGGCTGCCACAGCGGAGGCAGGCAGGGCGGCTGCGGTGCTCAGGGACAAGCTGGTGTTGAGGTCAAACGTCTCTTCTCCTCATTGCTGCAGGGAAATGTGGGTGAGTGGAGACAGATGCGATCTGAGGAGATGGGGGCAGGCAGCAGCACCCAGCCTTGTTCTCCATGTACCCCCTGCTCCCCTTCCTCCAGCCCCAGGCTCCTGCCCTGCTCACAGCACAGGGAGGAAACTGCTGCTCACAGCTTCCCTGGGGTCACCCACCTGCTGTGGTTGATCCCCCTGTCCCTGGAGCATCCTGCTCCAGCTGGCCCTGCTCCCAGCACAGCTTGGACTGGGCAAGCTCAGAGATCCCCACCAGCTTCAGCTGGTCTGGGGATCTCCAAAAATTCATCCATTTGCAGGAAGCGCAGCTTCTCTTGAGACCAAATCTCCTTACAGACCTCGTGTTCCCTGGGAATTACTCCTGCCTGGGGAACAGAGTAAATCTTCTGCAACATGATGTATTGGCTTGTTCCTACAAACAGCCACAGCTCTGGGTCTGTTGGCCAGGGCAGCCCCCATGTGCTGAGTGTGACACAGTGGCAGTAAATATTTTTTCCAGGAGACTTCTTCCTTCCTGAGTCTACTCTTTGCTGAAACTTAAAAAAAAAAACAATTCACAAACAGTTTCCACCCAAGAAGTAATCACTTGTATGAAGACTTAAGCTTCTAATTTCCCACAATGATAGTCCTTCACAAAAATGAAATGAGGATTTCTACAAAGTTTGTGGAGGCTCTTGGCATAATAACATACAGGAATAACCTGCCCCACTAATGAAACAAAACTTCTGTCAGTGCTCACCCAAATCCTTACCTTGCAGGTTACTGTCATTAGAGCAGATTTTATAGCAAAAAAAAAAAAAAAAAAAGATACCAGCTGCATATTAAAACTGCTTCTGACTGAAGCTTCGGGTAACATTTTCAATGTGAGTCTTTCCATCTATATTTAGAGGCATTCGAGTGCCAATGCCAAACAAGTGCTCCCGAGTTTTGGTTGATTGCAGGTACCCTTCTGTCCTTTTCCCCAGCAAAACTCAGCTTGTAGCTGATTCTCAGCAAACACAGTTAAAAATGCAGACATTTCTGTGGCCTCCCCAGAGGCTTAGCACACTTCCAGGAAGATTAACATGGATGATCAAGGAATGTCTCTGCTTACACGGTTGCCTCAGAGAAAGCCAGTGGTGCCTGGATGTGTATAGTAGGATGACTGTCATTACTCCAAGTTACAAATACTGGTGGCTTAAATAACATCAGCTGCTCAGGTACCAGCTGAAGAAAGCACCATTTGAGGCTACCACTGAGAAAGAGGAGATTCCCGTCAAATGAAACTTAGCTCTTCCCAGAAAACACAAAAAAGCCAAGTGAAAGAGAGGACCTGAGCAGAGGGGAAGAGTGTCACTGAGACAAGGAGGAAGCACAATTCTCTTCTAATGCAATAACAGCAACGTAAAGAATTTAAAATGCTTTTCTAGTAGCTAAAAAGAGCAAACTGCCTTATTTATCATCATTGCCAGCACGCATACCACTACAAAGCTAGTTTCCTTTCCTCTGATTGCTTTACAATTACAGGTAAAAATTGCAAGGTAGTTGGATTTTATACACTCTCATCCAAAGGCTTTGGAACATGATTATCTGCAGTGATTGACAGATCCCAAGTGGTGAATCATTGCATTAGAGACACACATGCAGCTCTTACATACAGCTAGAAAATGTGTGTCTGGCACTGAGCTGTGTCATTTCAGTCTTCACTGTGAAATGGTGCGATCTGCACTGAAACCTGGCTGGAACTGGACAGATTTTGAAAGTTTCTGTATTAGTGCCTGAAGTGAAAATAAGCTGTACCCACTGAAAGGCTCTAAATTATGAGAGAGATGAGAGCTAACTTCACAAAGACATACTGCTTCATTTGAAACCCCTGCACACATATGTCCATATGGTGCAACCAGCTCTCTTTTCCCAGTTCTGATCTGCACTCTTTGTCCTGTAGGTTCCCAGGAGCAGACTGGGAGTATGTCCTGCTAGCTCTGTGGATCAGGAGTATCTGCCTGAACTTGGGCAGCACACTTCCCTGTAAAACAAAACAAAAAAGTCCCAGCAACTATTCCACGCTTGCAGAAATCAGGAATAGAGCTGCCACTGCAAGTTAATGGCATTTTACCTCGGGTTGGGTCGCTTCAGCATCTCTCTTAAGCGCAGCTACCAGAGAGCTCACTGGGCATGTGGCAATTTTACAGCTGCCAATCTAATCGGAAACTCAAATATAAAGTACACAGCGCCGGAGCTTTTAGCTGTAATGTGCCATTCACTGGCCCTGCCACAGTGTATTGCAGGAGGCTGGAGGACTCAGTGAGCTCGAGCAGCATTGGCCGTGGGGAGGCCGTGAAACTGGACATGTGCCACCAGACAGGCTGACAGGTACGTAGCAGGTATGGGGGAATTGGTGGGAAAACACACTCCTTAGAGATGTCCTAATTCAAGCCACCATGGGCTGCTGCTGTTGCAGCACAAGCTGAACAGGCTTCATAATGCTGAGTGACCAACTCTGCCTTACGAACCACCAACAATGGCTGAGCTTTCAGCAAATCATAGCTGAAATTATAAATTATAGCTCCTGTGAAGAAGATGAACATTCAATTTCAGATTTAAAAAAAAAAAATTACTAGGGAGCTTGCTTTGACAATAAACTGAGGCAACCAAAAAATAAAATCTGCTTATTTTAAGCCTTAGGAAGTGGGCAGTGAATTGGCTAAACTGTAGTTATGCATTTCAGAAGTCTGGCTGTGCAAACCACTTCCCATGTATGCAATTCATCCATATAAAAGACATGCTATTTTCTTCCAAGTACAGAACAGTACACTGAAATTTCTGAGACACTATTTTTAAAATGGCATAGCCATAAACTTGCAAACTCTTGAGTAATGTAGACCTTCTTTTTAAAAAATTGCCTCTTAGCTTCAAAAATAAAAGCTGGCAGAAAACACAGCTACTAGTCTGATGATGAGAACAGAGACAAAATATGGCAGCAGGTCTCATCAGGGCTGGGTGACACACATCCCTTCATCTGCAAAACCCTATATCACAAAATGTAGAAATAAAAGAAACTGACCTGGTGGAAATAAGGGCAGTGAATCTTTTAACGGCTGTCTCTGAGGAAGAAAGCACAACATACTAACCTTATAGATCTCCTGCACTGTTTAAGAACTGGTCTCCAGCATAGCTTTTGCCCAAGCCCAGTTTGTGATGAACAGGATCCCTGCACGCAGCCAACTGGCTAATGCCAGCATATACATACACACACAAGATATAAAGATATGTATATATACCAGTAAAGGTGTATAGATATATAAGTAGAAGATACCAGTAACAGAGTCTCCCTGCCACCTTTACTAGGAACTTTTTTAGAAGGAAAGAATATAACCTGGAAACAATATTATCGGACATTTTTATTTGTTGTGACTTCTAGCTTCACACAAATACTGAAATGAAGAGAAAAGCATATCACATTTTCAATCTGCAGGCAAAATAGAGAAACACATAAAAGATTTGTCAGCATTAACAGCCAGATCTGCTCTGGAAGGACAATTAAGCTTTTTTTTTTTTTTTGGTAAAAATTAATAAATTAGTTCTTTTAAAATTACATTCTCTTCTATGTGTGCAGATCAACATTTTCGGTTGATTCCCATTTTTGTATTTAGTACAAACATATGGCAAAGGCCAGTTTGCCTGTTAAAACGGATAAGAATCAGACAATAGTTCTGAACTAAGAGCCACATCAAATTTGTTTTGAAGTGAAACAGAATCTTTCCACTACTGTCAAGAGAACCAAAGTCAAGCCCAAACTACAGAATCGTATGATATCTGATGGGAAGCAAATGTAATTCCTAAGGTTTATATTTACTAGGGTATTGTAAAATCCTATGTTAACAGCTGGAGATCTATAGAAATACATGCTTAGAGAGAGGGGTAGGTAGATAGCCATAGTTAGTAATAATTTAAAGCAAAAACAGCAAGAAAATATTTTGTCTAACCAGGCTAGAAATATCGAAACATGCCAACTAAATGAAACACATTGAGATCAGGGCAAAAACTTCCCTATTCCTTATGTGCTAGTCTAGCTGGTCACTGCTTATCTCACACCTTCATTATATCAATGTAGTTCAGCACCTCTAGAGTCCTGCCAGACAAACTCAGACACTCGGCTTCAGAGGAAAACTTGGCTATTCCCGCTGTGCTGCCCATGCCTGCAGGCTGCAGGCCCTCATGGACAAGCATTTTGTGCCCTCCAATGGTACTGGGGGTGCTGGGAGGAGGGAGTCCCCCTGGGCTGCGGGCAGCGGCGAGGGAGCCCCCACAACTGCACACCTGCATGGTGCCACACTGGGTGGCAACATCCACTTTCCTTACCTCTGGAACAGAGATCTCAGTCTGCGACCAACCATCACACCTGGCACTGCAAGTAACAGGCTCTCTTTTAGGGGCTTGGTCTAACGAGCTGCCCTCAAATGGGGCAGTGTGGTTTTTATTTTCCTTCTCTGTGGCACATAAAATAGAGTCTTTCTCCTGAAGATGGTATCCTTCATCTCTAGTCAAAATGCTGCTGGGTTGGAGAGGCACGGTTCTGGTGTGAGAAGTCTTTGGGCACTCTGTGCTTGATGAGGCTGAGACTAGGTTGGCATCATCTATCTTCAAGGATTGTTCATTCAGATATTCCTTCTTTTTGTCTATGTCTTCCTCTTCAGACTGTTTGAACAGATTGTGAGAATGCAGCTGTTTAAATCGTTCAATAACTAAGGACCAAGTTAATGACTAACTAACAACAAAGTTAATGAAATAAACAGAAAGGCCAGAAGTGTCTGGGTTTGGTTGTTTGGGGTTTTTTTTGTCATTCTTTCTCCAAGGGTGCACACCTAACCTTTGTTGAAGAGAAGGTGGGTAAGGCGGACCTTCACTCTCACACAGAATTTATATTCTAACATTGTGGCATTTTTGTGTTCAAGAATGGCTGAAAACACACAGTGTGTCAAATTCTCCTGCCTTACAGGCATGTAATGTAAAGAGCTACACATCAAGGAAGAGCATGTAAGATTGCTTAGCATTTTCCCACAGTCACGTTAGTGTAATTCCACAAGGCCTGGTATTATCAAGAGACCAAACCACACATCTGTTAAGCTGTTTAGGAAGCTTTACGGCTAATCATTTCTTGTCTTCCTCACACATCAAGTTGCCTTGAACAAAACAAAACCATAAATTAGATTCCAGCTCCATCCACCCTTAGATGCACTCAGGCATACAGATATCATTCAAGTGAACCCCTACAGCCCCATAAACGGGCAGTACTCACTGCATCAAGACTGGAGCTGAAGCAGCTCTCTGTCTGCCTTGGAGAGTAACTGGGAGACTGGCTGTTGAGTGATGACTCCACATCTGAAAAATGAGACGAAAAGGAAAGAAAGATTACTCACCAAAAATTCCCCAAATATCCAGCTCTCAAGCACAGCATATAGAATTATCCATTACTACGTCTGATGCAGTTTTAAGATACTGTTTAAAGCGTTAGTGAGGTCAATCTACGTCTTGGCAATAGCCAGTTCTTCTTGTCTCAGGACAACACATCTTAACAGAAGGTGTGAGATGGGTGCCCCAAAGCTTCAGCTATGCTGTTAGTCAGCAGCCTGCACCAGCAGCAGAACTGTGCTACCCAAAAAGAGGAAGGACTCTGCAGAGCAAGGGCAGGGAGAGAATGCAGCAAATTCCCTGCACACAGTGGCTACCATACAAGGTACATGTTTTTTCTCTTAGAGGCCCTTGGGAGATCTTCTGTTCTGAAATGCAGCCAGCATGCCTGGCCCCTACAGCTACTGAGGGAGCAAAAAGGACGTGGGATCTCCCTGATGACTCCCCTCACTCTGTCCACGTGTGGAATGGCAGTATATAGTCTAGTGGAAGGGAATAAAGACTGGACCAGCAAAATGGCATATGTCAAGCATCTAATGAAGATATTAATTAATAGAGAAAACACATCCAGGATTTTTTTCAGTCAGCAGAGGTCTGCAGGAATAGAAAGAAAGAAAATTACTGGCATTTACTTGATACTTTTACTAAGTAGTGGTGGTAGTAAATTTGTGGTGTTCAGATTAATACTCTTGATCTCTCTTGTGGATTTATTTTTTTTTAGCAGTTACACCTACTTTCAGAGCTGGCTTTTCAGTTTAGGGGATAACTTTGGAGGAAATGGGACAATGAAAAATATGTATGTAACACTTACCAGAGAGAAGTTAACCTGAATTTTTCTCTTCAATGAAAAGCAAACACAGATAAATCTTAGTTACCTGGCAATGCCAGTCTTCTATACAGTACTGCGTGAATCAAAAATACAAGCCCTCATCAACCGTAACATCCTAAAAAGACCAAAACACTCCTCCTTGGCTTTAAAAGTAACTCTTTCAGTTTCCAATGTAGAGAAAAATTGGATTTTTAAATTAATAACGTATAAATGGTACTAACCCTTCTCCATCTTGCAAAGATTTGAACTCTCTCCAAACTTATAGTCTTCCTCTTGTGCTGTTGTGAACTTTTAAAAATAATATTAAGTGTTAACAGTGAGGGTTCAGCTGGATCAGCACCTCAAGCTAAGTGAGGAACATTCAGTTTCTGTATTACATAAAGGAGTCACTGCACTGTACCACAAATTATTTTAAAAGGTACAAACCCCCTGACCAATACTGCATGTGCTTGGGTGACTTCTACAGGCAAAATATCTGAAAGATTCTTTCTATGTATACTGGCATAAAGCTCCTTTATAATACTAAAGTGTCCCACATACAATGTCTGAGCCCACAGAATCCCTGCACAATCTGATCCTAAGGGTTAATGGGTAACTTACACAATGTATTTCAGGCATCAACTTAGGTGTGAATCAAACCATGTAAATGATGAACCTGCAAGTGCTTTCTATCTGAACCACTTAACCAGAAGCTGTTCTTTCTGGAATCCTTATATAAACCACGACAGAAAAGAAGCTTGCACAGAAGTTAATTCAATGATGCTAAATTTAGTTTCTAACTGTTGTGGACATTCCTTCTCCACCTCAAATGAATCGTGCAATCGGTAGGCTTGACAAAAAAAAAAACCAAACAAACAAAAAAAAACTCTTTAAAAAGTTACCTCTTCAAATCCAAAGAGCTGGTTCTGTCTCCAGGCTGATTCCTTCACAGACTCATCATCACTGACGGATGCAAACACAGAGTTCTGTTAGGTGATTTCCCCCCCCTGTATTTTTATTTTCTTTCTGAATTAATGTCATTTCCGGTGACTTTTTTGTCTTCAATTTTTGTTTTGTTTTCAGTAACCATGAAATGCTTCCCACTATTGAGATCATTGAACTTCTTCCTGAACCTGAGATTTAACACCAAGAATCTGGTTTTCACAAACTTCACTTCTGTTGAAATGCAATATGTAACAAGAGAGATGACAGAAGATAGCGCTGCTTTGTAAAACAGAAGGTGTTATGGATCAGAGTCTTTGATAAAACCCTCTTCTGTAAAACGCAGGGCACTCACGTGGGCTAACTTTAACCCAGGGAAAACGCTAACTTTCTCTGTAGTCAGTGGAAGGAGACAGGGTCTTTTAGAGGGCAAGTCAGAGTAACAGCTTAATTTCAGGGACTCAAAATTGTCCCATGAAGCAGCCTTTCTCTGTACTTGTTATAGTATATGGGCAGATGAACAATTGTACAAAAAAGAGCTTACAGGCACATAAGTTTGTTCACATTATTCACTACTATTTTAACTGTGAAAACTTTAGGATTTTGCCTTCATGTCCTCTTAGCAGGATTTCTCCAATTCAGAAAGGTCTCTGCAGTTATCACTAGCTAATAGATTCATAATTTCTATGGCACTCACCTTTTTTTTCTTGAACAGTTCTGCACATTCTCCTTTAAACTAATCCACTGATCATGGTGATAAGCAAATGTTTCTAAAATAAACAAGTAAACCTTGATTTTAAAATGCAATATCATAAATGCAATTTGAAAATAAATGCTTCTGTCAACTTTTTAAAATAATTTAAATTATTGGATTTAAAATTAAATTACTGCATTCTGAAGATTCGTGACATCTTTTTCCAGTCAGGACAGACACATCTCTGGTTATAAAAAACACATGTCTTTAAAAGGAGAATAAAAACCAGAATATATGTCCTTAAAATATTGACACTCACCAATTTTTTCAAGGTTTGCGGGTTTTTCATTGTTTTCAGAGGGTCTAAAGTAGTGCTCTCCCTCATGACAGTCCTGCAGGTGGGTTTTATGAAGTCCAGTGGTCTTATAGCCTGCACTAGAGGCATTGTTACTTTCAGGTAAAACCCATTCTGGACCTGTGAAAATGCCTTCAAGGTGTCTGTCTACAGAATGGTTTTTTGCATTCATTGCAGGATAAGCCTCTCTAGTATCATAAAGATAGTTTATGTTAGTCATTTGATTTCTGTCATCAGGATCCATGAAAAAAATGGCTGCACTGCTTTGGTTAACAAAAGGATTAAAATGCTCTGTGGAAGGATTATTAGGTATTGATTTGCTCTCATCTTCAAACAGTGACAGAAAGGAAAAATCACTTCCAACTTCTTGGGGAGCTTTCAGTTCTGCGGTTTCTTTCACAACATCAAACAATGGCACTTTTATTCCTTCGCTGTTTTCTGATTCGTTCTGATTTTTCCCGGCAGAATTCATATAGTCCAGCCTGGGATGAGGCAGGGGGCGGGGGGGCAGGGGGGATAGAAAAAAAAACCACAACAGTTTGCTTAGTACATAAGTAAGCAAAATACTAACTGCTAACACAACAAATTATAACTTGATAAAAATCTCAAATACTTTACTGCTCATCACAGTTGCTTTTGTCCCAAATGTACATTATTTCAACTGAAAAAGTGTCCCGTATTTTATTTCCACTTTATAGTAAGGTTGATTTAGAAGGGGTTCTGCTTCATGATGTCTCCAAGCATACCAAGACATGGAGTACATCCTCCCGAGTAGGGAACTGTGATTTATAAAATCAGCCACAGTATGTCACTGCTGCTCCACCAGCTGAACAAAGAAGGCCACTTTGGAGGGGGGAAAAAAAAAAAAAAAAAAAAAAAAAAAAAAAGACAGGAAGATAAGATAGTTTCTTCTGCTTATGAAAAGAAAACAGTTTGTTCTTTAAGACTACAGTTCTCTCCTGCACTGAAAGCTTATAATAAACTCTGTGTACTGCTTATTTCCTGGTCTCTTTAGCAAGTGACTTCCATTTGTACTTGAGGTCAGTAATCCTAATTCAGGACAGAACTTGTCTATTCCAATAGTAGTGGTTTTGAACATGCTATCATGCTAGTATCATTACCATGAAAGCTATCATGCTTTCACTTAATTGGCTCTTAGTCTAACATTTTTGCTGCTTTTTTTCTAGGCTTGATCTGCTGACTGACCTTTCAGAAAATCTGAGAAAAAAGTTTAGAGGCTTCTGAAGCACAGAGAACTGGCAAAGGCAGCCATTCAAAAAATGCCCTTCTTTAAAAAATTTCGAGCAATGCTATCAATGGAACTCGAAAACTCGAAATGTAGTACAGAAAACTCTTACTGGAGAAAAATTCTGTAATGTTTTGATCAGTGAATTCTTGAAACTGGATAAAGATCCTAGAGAACTTAAATGAGAAAGTAGTGTCCTCTACTTACAGAAACCCCCTCTGAACAGTTTTAAAAGGCTAAATACACTAAAGTTTGTTTTTGGAGAAACTTGGATACATCTACGTGAGGAAGGTAAAAACATTTTATGAAGCAATTCAGAGTCTCTTCTTCACTTCAGCTGAACATTCTGTAATGCTAAGCAAAATTTAATAGTAAATGAGGAAATAGCTAAGCACTATTCAGAGTGAGAGACATCTGCTATTTTTATAAGACATCTAAAATTTTTAGTTAATATTTAATGATCTTGAGGTGCCACAGCTCTCAGAGGTATGCACATTGATTACATCATCAGTATGTTCCAATTACATTAAATTATTCTGTAAGTTTATACTCTACTTTTGACACATGGCGGAAGGAAACTCCCTTCCCAGGAGAACTGCCAGCTCTTGAGGTATAAGAATTTATGGCTGTAGCAGATGAAAACAAAACAAGGACCATACAAAGAAATTGATTTGAAGAACAGTTGGAAAGGAGATGTTGTTAGTGAGCCATCAATGGGCAGAGGATGCAGGGAAGTGCCATAAGTAGACAAGTGCAGGCCTGAGGGCCTGTGGAGAAATGAAAGGGGAGAGGTAGGCGAGATATGGTTACAAACGGCTTTACTGTAAAGATATTGATTGGGAATTCACCAAGATACACATCAAGGTGAATGTTATCCTCTTTAAGTTTTGCTGGAGAAAGCCAGGAGAAGCTAGGAGAAGAGAAAGAGAAAGTTAAGGTGGCTAAGACAAGAAGCTGATATGTTCATCTAGTTATCATGTGGTCAGTGAGCTTATCAGTCACTTGAGTCCCCAGGCAAACAGGCTCTAGGTAGTTCAGGAACAGCAAAATAATATATATGGCCTTTTTATGGCTCTACCCAGCCAAAGCTAGAGACTGATAGGAACTTTCAATCGGATGGCAGACTTACAGAATAAAAAGAGTAAAGGAAGATTAGCCTTGTAAGATCCCTAGGTCCAAGGCAAGAGCCCCTGGAAAGAAACCGAAATAAAATGTTCAGCATAAATTAGTCTGGCCCTAAACCCTCTGTTATTAAAAACATTTTTAATCAGCATGTACAAAAAGAAATATGTTCTAGATTTCTAGCCATTCTTTTATTTTTAAAAAGTGTCTATTCTCATATAAGTACGATTTAAGCAATACTAAAAAAAAAAAAAAAAGCTACAGTAGGATCATATATGAAAGAGAAGGAAAAAACCAAATATCAGCAATGTAGGTAGAGAAGCTGCTCATTTGCTACAGCACCAAGGTCACCAGAAAAGCACTTGCCATAGTGACCAGAACTAATGGGACCTGGAGCAGCTGCCCTCCCTGTGGCCTCTTAGTAAATCTGTGCTTCTCACTTGGTGTGAATTCAGTAACACCATAATGTTTGTGACATTGCAAAAAACAGATCATGGTTCCAAGTCCCTACCTAAAAATTCACATTTTGCTGCCTTTCAGCAGATGTAAATAGCTCAGTATGTTCAGTCTTTCCATTTAATTTTAATTTCTATTTGAAAAGGAACAAAAAATCAATGAAAAATCAAGTAGCAATGTTTCAGATTATCTTAGTATTTTTCTTGCTTAAACTTGGCTGTTATTTCTGTCTTTGATGTAAAATCACTGCCTACCTATGCAATGGCTTAAACAGCTCCTGAGACACTCTATCAGACTTTCCAAAAATACACTGGCTTGGACGTTTTGTAATCCAAGGGTCTTGATCGGAACTATTTCCTGGCTGAGAAAACAGTAGAAGCTGTCAAACCAAGTATATATAATAGTTATAGCGTTTTAAACTTTAATGTTGGGTTTGCAAACACTACACATGTTTTCCCACTATTTTCACTTCTTTCTATCTTTACAGTAGAAGTCAAAACTGCCTTACACCCCACCTGAGTTCTGTATAACTCATACTTTTCCATATCTGCGTATCGCTGTTCATATACAAAACATCCTTTTAGCATCCCACCTTCCCATAGTATGAAGAAACTTGGTAGACTGTAACAAGCTGAAGTCCCCCTGAAGATCACATAATCAGAGGAAGTGCATTGTCTGGAAGGGACCTCAAGAAGTCTCTAGTCCAACCACCTCAAACCAGGACCAGCTTCAAGGTTAGGCCAGATTGTTCAGGGTTGTTCAGGACTGAGATTCCACAACCTGTTTGGAAGGCATCTTGGTGCTTAGCTACTTTGTGACAATACTTTTTCCTATACAAACAGAATTTCCATTTTTGAAACTTGTGACTTCTACTTATTGCCATTTCACTGTGTACCTCTGGCTCTGTCCTGTCTGTAACGCTGGTTAGCCTGTGGAAGACAGCAGTTATTTCATCCCACACTCCCATAGCCTTCTCTTTTCCAAGCTATGAAAGCCCTCTTTGCTCAGTCGCTACACATTCATCCTGTGCTCCAATCCCCTAACAATTTTTGTGACCCTTCTTTGGTCTTGCCACAGTTTGTTAATCTTCCCCTTGTACTGGAGTTCCCAAAACTGGACACAGTATTTCAGATGTGTTCTCACACATGCTGCTCAGAGGGAAATAATCATTTGCCTTTGACTGCTGGCTATGTTTTCTCTAATACAGCCTCTACGTAGCTGGCCTTTGCAGCTACAAGGGTACACTGCTGAATCATGTACAACTTTTTCTCCACCAGCACCCTCAGGTCCCTCTCTGCAAAATTGCTGTCTACTCAATCAATCCCCACCCATACTGATGTGTGGGGTTATTTCTTCCGAGGTGCAGGGCTTTGTATTGCTCTGTGTTACACTCTATGGAGTTCCTGATGGCCTTCTGCTTGTCAAGATCCCTCTGATAAGCAGCTCTGGTACTGTAGTGGTCACTCTGCCAATCTGGTGTCATGCATGAACTGGCTGAGGTGCTGAGAGTGCATTCTGTCCCATTGTCCAACTCTAAGGAAGATGTACCAGACTTGCTGTCAATCTCTGGGGATCCTTGACATTACTGACTTGTTGCTAATTAGACTTTAGCTCACAGATAACTACTTTGAGCAGGATGGTAACAGACAGTTTTTTACCCATCTTATTGCCCACTCATCTGGTTCATAACCCCCCACTTTGGCTACTATGATCCCACAGGGAACCTTGTCAAAAGCCTTTCTAAAGTCAGGGTAAATAATATCTGTTGCTCTCCCTTATTCACAGAGATCATCATTTCATCACAGAAGGCAATCAGGTTCATCAGGCACAGTATGGCGTTGGTCAATCTATGCTGTCTGTTCCCAGTCACCTTCTTCTTCTTTATGTACCTTGGAATTGCCTCCAGGAGATCTAGTTCCATAATTCTTTCAGGGACAGAGGTGAGATGATACTTCCCCAGATTATGCTTATATTTTTGCAGATGGGCATAACATTTGTGTATTTCTTGTCACTGAGAAGCTTTCCTGATTACCACAGTCTTTCAAAGATGATAGACATCTGCTCTGCAGTGGCATCATCCAACTCCCTCAATATACTTGGATGCACCCTGCCCAGTCCCAGTATTTCTCTCTGTCCAGGGTACTAAGGATTCCCTAGCTTGTTCCTTCACCACTCTTTTGTATCACTCTCCCCCAAACTCTCTACTGAACTGGAAGACGTGCCAGAGAGCAGACCTTGTCAGAAAATCCTGAAGCAAAGGAGGTCTTGAGTGCCTCAGACTTTTCCACGTCCTTTGTCACTAGGGCAGTCTGTTTAGCAGTGGACAGCATTTTCCTTGTTTTCCTTTTGCTGATGACATGCCTATAGAAATCCTCCTTGCTGCCTTTCTCACCCCTTGTGAGTTTCAGCTCTGGCCATCCTTGTGCCACCCCTCCAAGCCCAGTGGATGCTTCCATATTCTTGCTGGGTGTCCCATCCCTCCTTCCACACTTTGTTTTTGCATTTGAGCTCAGTCAGGAGTTCCCTGATTCGCCAAACTGGCCTCCAGGACCTACTTATTCTCTTGCATGCTAAGGTGGACTGTTTTTGTGTTTTGAAAACATCTCTCTTGGGCTCCTTTGTCCTTCAGGCCAGCTTCCTGTGAATTTCTGCCTACTTGTTCCCTAAACAACCCAACATCCCCTTTTCTGAAGTCCTGAAGTACTGCTTCCTCCCTTACCTCAAGACTTTAGAATACCACTGGTGATACACATTGAATTTGTTTTATTATTTTCAATAAACAACATATTTTCTAAAAATAAAGCATATTATGAGAGCCACTTATATTTGCTATTACTTTTCTAAGGATGATTCTTTTAAGAACTCCAAAGTTAACAAGAAGAAAAAAGCATCAACATGCATCAGAACAAATAACTTTCAAACATTTCCTAAACTTAACTTGAGTTAAACAGCAGGCTTTTCTCTATCCTTCTAGGAACAATGAAAACATTGTAAGAACTATGTTACTCACTGAGACACTGAATGATTACAAATTAGGTCATGGTGACCACCTGGGATCATATGATACCCAGTTATACTAACTACATGTAAGAAAGCTGTATTTCTAACTGCAATACATTTCAGCTTTCATTAACCAACTTCGCAAGACAGAAACAAAGGAAAGCCAGTGGAATGTTACTAACTCTCCTTCTGCAGATATCAGTAATATTGAGAGCTCTGGGAACAGAAGCTCAAGTTAAGTTTATTTCATACGAATAAAATAAATTTATTTGTATATATGGAATATTCATTGCTAGCAGCCTACAAGAAATGTTGATCATTCATAATTATCTTCACCATTACACTAATTTTACATTCCAAATGAATGAAAGTTAGTTTAAAGTAATTCTGTGTAAACAGCAAAATATTAATCAAACTTGGTTTTTCAGCTTCACTTCATATGTCTGTTCCCAAGTGTTGCCCATTAGGTTTGTGTTGAAATTTCCTTCTGAAAATTGTGTACTGTTAGAGAACAGTGGACAGGCAGCCCTTTCTATGTTGTCTTTGTGTTTCATACTAGAGTCAGCATATGTTGATTCTGTTACTCATGACAACTAGGTAAAACAAATAGCAAAGAGATATTTTATTTATCTAAAACTGTTTTTAAATAAGCATAAAGTTCAAAGGAATCAAACCTTTCTATATTTTTTACATCTCTGCACATATACCACATGCAAGAAAAAATTTTCATATATTCTGGTATGATTTTTTTTTTAAAAAACATAAGGTAATAAGCATTTATTTCAGGGAAAGACGTAAGTATCTACTTAAGTTGAAGCGTGCACATAGATGTTATCCTGAGGGGAGATGGGTATAAGTACAATTTTAGCTTTAGACGTGTAGGTAAATGATCTGCTGACTTGGTTCTCAAGCAGTAAAATGAAAAATACTTTACTCCATTGAGGAGAGAACTCCAGCATGTTGTGAGACCAACAATGCTATCTCAAGTAGATCAGAACACAAGGAAAAATTTGAAGGCAAAACTCATGAAATGTCACTGTATCCACAGCTACATGGAAGTAATGGCTGTAATCCATCTTATCCAGTGAAAGCAGCACAAATTCCTAATGGAGTGCAAAAGCCTTGCACATTTATTAAGCCTTGCACCTGAAGAGGGCCTACAGGAGAGATGGGGAGGCACTCTTTATCAGGGAGTGTAGTGAGAGGACAAGGGGTAATGGGTATAAGCTGAAAGAGGGTAGATTTAGACTAGACATTAGGAAGAAGTTTTTCACTGTGAGGGCCGTGAGACACTGGAACAGTTTGCCCAGAGAAGCTGTGGATGCCCCATCCCTGGAGGTGTTCAAGGCCAGGCTGGATGAGGCTTTGAGCAACCTGGGCTAGTGGAGGGTGTCCCTGCCCATGGCAGGGGGGTTGGAACTTGATGATCTTTAAGGTCCTTTCCAACCCAAACCATTCTATGATTCTATTGCACAAAATCTTTGTTACACAAAACTTTAAGCTTCAAAAACCCTGAAAATTATTAATTCTACAACCCCTCTTTCTGCTTAACAAAGGGGATGTATCTTCATTACTTAAATTGGCTATACTTTAATTTATGAATATTTTAAAAACAGTTCTTTGCAACATACAGGCCATAGACTTTATTTTTTTATCCATACATTAAATTAGCTTTCTGTGTGTGCACACCGCATTATCACGTATTTTGATGAACTGGTGTGAATCTGTCCATACAAGCTGGGGTTGAGAAGAAAATTAGCTATCATTTTGATCTGTTATTTCTGGCCACACTAAATCTGAAATATGTCCTCTGTGTCTTCAAGAAACAGACGAAAAAGAGTTATAAGGGAAGGCTGACTTAATGTGATACCCAAAAAGGTAGTGGCAGCTCGTGGTGATCTTGGCTGAAACACATTATAGAGCTAAACTTTTCACCCATACTGACTCATACTTCCTGACTCAAAAGGAAGGAAATTCTAACACTAGAAAAACATCTGTCTTTCTCGCTCTCGCAAAACATGCTTTGGCAACATGAATGTGCCAAGAACATACAGAACAATACTGTGCAAGCATCTTTTGCAAGCATTTTTTCCTCAGAGCCCTGTCTGATATGAACAGCAGAAGTCAGTGGAGTTGTATTATTAAGCAAATCTGAGTAACCTAAACTAAGTGTCTTCTTACAGATTTACTAACTTGGGGGTTTTTGTTTTGTTGGTTTTTTTATGCAACAGTGGAATGGGTCATAAAAAAAAGCCCAACTTCCATCTAGAGAATGTTTTCAACTGTAACCTCAATGAGTGTATAAACTTCCCAAATGTATCCACTGAGTCTTGCACTTAAGTTCCTCTTAAAGACTTGCTTTTGTCTATGCTTCTCACATTTCATCATTTCACATTTCTTCACATTGTTTTTTATTTACTTGCTGTTGGACTCAGTCTCTTTCTCTCTCTGTTCTTTGTGACTAATTTAGAGCACACATATTCTTAAGTATTTTGGAAACTGCACAAACCAAGGTAAGTCATGCAAGAAATAGATAAGAAATAGCAGTGACAAATATAAAATATGACTGGCAAATAACATATCAGTATAGCCTTAAAGAAGAAGACTTCACACGTTTCAGTATCCATGAGATTTGGTCACTCTTTGAAAAATCACTTGAACATACAGTCACTGCTGCACATTTTTAGCTTTACATCACTGAGAACAATAAACTTACTCACATTATGCTGGTATTTTGCTTTCTCTGAGAGATGCTGCCTTCTGCTGTCCAATACCTGCTTTTGTAACCTTGTAAAATGAATAAAAACAGCCTATGAAATACAAGATATAAGATCTATAATTTAAGAATATTTTTCCACACATTTTAAAAAGGCCTAATTCATAAGCAGTTATGAGCAGCCAGTGTGTGAGTCAGTCACTTTAGGGTGTCTGAAGCTGGATGGGAAAACAGTGTAAGTGGAAAATGGTGTTTGAATAGCCTGCTCTGTGAGATAAACTTAGTGTATGTACCTGACATGATTTTTTTAAATCTCTCAGCTTCATGTACAGTTTTTTGTTTAGAATACATTTATTTACTCTCAGAGTATCTCTGGAATGCCAGGAGTGACTGTGAAACTTCTTAATCTTAGAATGGTATATTTATATTTATTTAATGCCCCAAACATAAGATCATAATGAAATAACTTTTTCAGAACTTCATTATAACTGACCTACTGCCTATTTTGTACAAGTACCTGTTCTGGATGTCATCTAAGTTTGATATATGTTGTGTACGTAGTGGTGACGTGGGAAGCTCTATGTTGTGTCTCCTGACAGGTATTTTTACTTTATTGATATTAATGTGGACTGGCTTCTTCACGTTCTCTGTAATGAAAGAATTTGGAATGTCAGCGCTGGGCTTGGAGAAAGTTTTGAGCTTTCTCAACTTTCAATAGAGTACAAAAGCTGTTGTTTTAGGTTTCTTAATGAATTTAAAGCCATGTTTTTTTCTTTCTTTGTTACTAGTGATGCAAGAGCTCTATTCTGAACGGCAGTACAGTATGAAATTATTTACAGTCAGCTCCTATGTGTAGACAGGCTCCATCCTCCTCCTCTGTCACCTTCTAATCTTCCTGATCATAGGACAACAAATTGTCCACAATCTGGTTCATGAATATGTCACAGAGGATAAGAGTTAGGACTCAAGTTGTAGAGATGTTTTTTCAGGAGATTAATGATGGATTTTAAGAAAGATACTCTGGGTAGAAATGACAGACTATTACAAATGCCCCCCAAAAGTTATGAAAAAGGAAGTGGAACACAAATGGACCCATTCAATGGCAAAGAGAAAAAGAAACAGATGTAGGGTAAAATTAAGGAATGGAATGAGGAAGGTGCATAAATGTACAAGGCTTTAAAGGTGAAGTATGCAGTAGACAAGGTTATTTGATTCCTCTTATGTCCTGACTTTTTATTGAATCGTAACTTTTGTATTTACTTACAATTTTTTATTTTAAAAATAAAACAACAGTTATTTGAGCATCAAGTTATACATGGAAGAACAAGAACTAAAATAATAGCAGTAAGAGTTAAGGATAACTGATGCTGTTAAATGTGAAGTCAGAACACTTACAATAAACTCACCAGTGTTCTCTTTCTTGGTTGATAACTGGTTAACAACATATAGATTGAGGAGATCCAAACTGACTGCTGAACTTTTAGGATCTGATACTTCCAAAAGCTTCATCTTTGATTTAAGTTTCTTCTTTTCAAAGAATTCCTAATTATTTTTTTTAAAGGGAGAATGAGTTTTTGTCAGAAGCTTCAACAACACATTAACAGCATATATAATTCTTTTGAAATTAGCTTGCAAGAATTAGTAAACAATTCCTAATAATAAAAGCACATGATTAAATCTTTCTGAATTCTCACATCCTGTCTACTGTTATTTAGTTAACTTTTATTGCCTTGAAAAAGACTGCAAGGATAATTTGGTCATACTCAAAATAAATAATTTTTCTCTTGATGCCAAAAAATTAGTCCTTAAACACTCATGCCTCAAACTTTGTGTATGATCATTAAAAATATTTACTTAAAATAAAAGACATATCAAAATGCTGCAAGGAAAAGGTCTTAAAAAAAATTAAACTTGGGATTTTTAGGCAGCTTATAAGCTAGTAGGCAAATAAATCAGCAAGCTTACGTACACACGGCCATCTATAAAGACACAAAGAGTTTATTGTTCTCCAAATTATTCTTTCTTGACATAGAAAATAGTCTTGTGACCAAAAAAAAAAAAAAAAAAAGTAAGAAGAAAAATCTCTGAGTCTGAGACTGAGACTTCGGAAAGGGTTTTTGTTGCAAGGACCAAAAAGAGATATGACTGACACTTTGAACATATCAAGCAGATAATTCTGGAAAAGTTATGAAACAAAAATCTCCATTTTGTAGGAGACTATTAATAGGCATCCAAAAATCATTAGCATCAAGCACAGCAGATGAATAAATCAAACCAGTAAGATTTCTTTATTTTAACCACAAGAAGGATATTGAAAACTGAAGGCTATGCCAAAACACAAAATAGCATTGAGTTTTCTTCTGAAATATAATTTCTCTTGTGATTGCAGGTTACATGTAACTAATATACCCAACATGTTCGTTGGTAACTATTTTCCAGTATAATTTATTATACCACAATCTTTAGCTGTCTAGGGTGTTATCATCTATGGAAAATACCTGTTCTTCAGGTAAGAAGAATATCTGCAGAAAGGTAAATTCAGCCTATGTACAAATCAACACTTCAAAATTCATATTGCTTTGCAGTCCCCACCTCCAACATGTATCCATGTCCTTTCAGTGACACATATATTTTCTTCCCATCACCTCTAAATTACTAAATTACTATTAATTGTGTAATAGCAATTATGAAATTACCACTGTGTTAGTTATTCAGTAGTAAATTACTAAACACAATCCTGTCTTGGATCCTTTCCTGTTTTCTCTCCTCTGCTGAAGAAAATTACAAAGTTGTAATGTAAATTATGTGGCTTAGACTAATAAATCCCTGAGAAAACAGGTATTTTGAGAAATAGCAGGCTTCCAGGAGACTGTGAAAGTGATGGGGACAACAAGCTGCTGGTTGTTCCCACATTCCCTTAGGTAAAGGTTTTCATTTCAGATGTTGTCTCCATACTGTCAGGCTTTTTTTCCTCTTCCTGTATATGACAGTGCATCTGCTCTGGGCATTGGGGGAGTACCAGTTTCTCTATACTGTCATTTTCTTCTCAGCTGCTGAGGAGGAAATTGACTCCCCTATTATAACTATCTTCCCTTACTGTTTTCTTTCTCTTTCCTGTTTGAAATGTCTTCTGCTATGCCAGGGATAAATTTGATTCTATTATTTCATTTTCAGATTCAAAATATGAATAAACTGCTCTACTTTTGCAAATGCCAGAATAAAGTACTTCAATGAGCCTAACATTCTTTTATGTAGCCCAGAATAATAGCTGTGTATATGTGTGTTAGGCTAGCTGACCACGTGGTTGTCACTGTGAGGCTTCAAGCAACTCCATGTGTCAGCACATACCAAAAAATATAGTAACAGAAGTAATTCAGTAAAACTTAAACTGAGCACATTCATTCATTCATGCCTTCTCCTACTCTCTCCTCTTCCTGCTGGAATTAAATGTGGTAAACCTAGAACAAGACTTCTGCCCTAAAAGTTCCATGCAGTCAGGCAAACACATTACAAGCGTTATGCTACAGTTTTGAGTCTCACTCCAAATGCTCTGAAAGTTTTTCCTAAGTGAATCAACTAAAGCATTTCTAAAACATATAAAATCCAAGATGCCTAGAACTGTTTACCTTTTGCTTTCTCCTTTCCTGCTTTAATATGACTCTGCTCCTGAAAGATGCAAATAATTATTCTTTTAATTGTAAGAGTATAAACTTGAATTTCTAAACAATGTTATTGAGAATTTAGGACACAAATATGATGTTATGTTATGCTATGTTATGTTGTTATGTTATGTTATAATGGATCAAACCTTCAGCCTACATATCTCTGTTGAAGCCACTTTGATTCTGATTTACTCGGGTAAGGATAGGACCACATTCTATCTTAGGGCTACAAAATACATTGAATATTCAGAAAGAAAAGCTTTTAGACATTTGACTTGCAATGTAACATTTCATCAATTCTTAATTTCTTAAAACATTATAAAACATCTTTGTCAATCTATTAATTTCTCCTAATTTTCTTTGTCATGCTGCAACATAGTTACAAAACCATATTGGCAAAGAAAACAAAGGAGCACAGTACAAGTTTCCACCTTTTGGGACTTTACAGAATATTGTGAACATTTTGTAAAAAAGGTAAGCAAAATAGATTGTTACTATAAGTTTTATCACGCTTCTGTTGTTTGTGCAATATAGGAGACAGTTATACCTTCAACTACATATCTCACTTGTTAAAGTCATAAATTGCCTACAGGACACGGTGCATAAAATTGGAGCTCTGGGTCACTGCAGGTTGAGCACAGCTGCAATCTTCGGGTCAGTAAGATTAGACTTTTTCTGAGAGTTAGAGATATGGAACGTCACCTTGGAATTACATTATTTATTTTTTTTTTACTGTGCTTAAAGTTAGAACACACTTTCTGAACATACACACATAACATTCACCCTTGCAGCGGGCAGAAGCCCCAGTAATGGATAGTTTTTCTGACACCTAAAATGAGAATCCCAGACTCACCTGAGGAATCCTGACAGATAATTAACAGCAGCAGGAAGCAGCAGGATGATTTGCTATTTGCTAAGTGAGTACAATACTCCTACATGCTGCTTTTTCTTACAGACAGAATAGCATGATAGGCATTTAGGACAAAGTTGGGGTTGTTTGGGGTTTTGTTTTGGTTTGGTTTTTTTTCAAACTGAAGTTCTCCCTTTCCCCTGCTTCACATAGCCAACTTTCATAAACCTCATTTTGCTGGGAAGACTTCCAGATAGGCAAGGCATTATTTTAGTTTGATTCTGCATAGAGTCAGGATGATTATAATGCTGTGTTTCGCAAAGATACTTTCAAATGGCTGCCAGAATCTGTGGGCTTTAAATTTTGAGTAGATAGGCAGATGGCACAGCACCTAAAGAATCTGAATATTATCCTCTTTTTAAAATGTTACAGCTCGGTTAGTGATTATTTTACTATTTCAGTGGATCTCAATAACAGTACATCTTTCTCCCCAAATGGTAATCACTGCCGTTCATGAGAGCATGAGGAAAGGCCCGGGCGGGAGAACCTCACCCAGACCCAGCCTGTGGAGAGATATTAGGCCCAGATGTGACCCACCCTGCCTGCTGTGGGAGGCCATCTGTGTCTCCTCACACAGTCTGGTTCATGAGGGGACACCAGGGCTGTCACACACACCATGGCCTGCTGGCCTGTGAGGGACACCAGGCCTGAAACACACACTGTGGCCCTGCCGTTCTATGAGGGGACACCACGGCTGTTGACACACCATGGCTGTGCCTGGCCTGTGAGGGGAAACTGGGTCAGCATGGAGCCATTTCTGTCAGCCTTTGAAGAGCTTCACTCACCGGCTGCCGCCGACCCAGTTCATTTTCTGCCGCTGAGGAAGGAGGGTGGGCTGCCGCGTGTGGTGCTGGGGATGGAGAGGGGAGGCAACAGCCACCACAGGGATGGTTTGCCGCCTCCCAGCAGGGCCACAGGGCCCTCCGGCAGGGCCTCCTCCTCCCAGGGCAGCTGCACTCCATGCCCCCCGGCTGCCCAGTGCTGGCAAAGAAGAGGGAGAGGGTGGTACAGGCACAGACAGCAAAAGGAGAAGGATGTAGAAAGCCAAGCAGGGCAGGCTGACGGGGAGGAGGTGATGCTCTGGTGGCTGCCACCCTTCCTCTACCACTGGCACTTCCATAAAGGCTGCTGCCAGGAGCCATTGCCCTTCTGCAAGGGAATCACAAGCCTCTTGCTTCCCCAGGTGAATCAAACTCACAGTCCCTGGAGTGTGTTACACAGCTGTGGATGTTTTGTCTTTCAGGCCCGATTTGTGGTGTCATTGCTACAGTCACCACAATTTTTAGGGCAAGAGAGAAGCACCTCCCTCCCCATCCTGTTCTTCCTCAGGTATTTTAGGGGCAACAGGGGAATCAACATGCATTTTCTACTAGTAGGTGTCACTGCCCTTGGAGCTGCCTGGTGAGCTTTTGTGTGTAAATAGCAACAACCCCTTGAAGAGAGATGCAGAGCTGCAGGTGCTCCCTGTGCTCCCCAGGCATCTCTGCAGCTCCCCTCGTTCCCTTCCCTGGGACTCACTGCCATCACTGCAGCAAGTGGAGGTACCCATTTACAAAACAAGCATAAAATTCTATATAAATCTTTTCCTGCAGTGTTTCCTTACCGAGTTATCCTTAGCCTAACAGTTTTCAGGTTACCAACATACTAACTGTATTAGTCTGTACTAACTGCCATTAGTACAACAATGTTGAGAGTGCTCAGAGCAGGTATAAGGAGCCTAATATTAAAAATGACTCAAGTTTATTTTCTTTCTAATATTGTCAATTTTGCTAGAGTGTTTATAGAAGCCCCAGCTAAAAGATTATAAAAGCAAAAAGATCTGCTTCTCTAAAACATCACCAATTAAACTGAATAAACTTATTGAACAGAATGTTTTACTGTTGTGATATTCCCCGTATTTCCGATTACTATGTATAATTGCTTCTTGTAACAACACT